AAACCTTAACTCGGACTTGGCCAAGCCTTTCTTAAGGCTGAACGGACTTTAAACGAAGTGTTTCTCAGACGAGAAACACTTGGATTAAAGTCCATTAGACCTTAACCTCTTTGGTTCGAACGGATATGGACCAGTGACGAAGAACCCACAAATTCCAAAAACTCAGATCTGGGGTTCACGCTTTCCTGATCAGATTCGGACCAAACCAAGTATGGTTTGGTCACGAGGGGGGTCTGGGGAGTGTCTGGTACGAAACTGGGGTTGGTTGGGTTAGATCGAGTTTTGACTCGAATCTTCGAATGAAGATTCGAGGACCTGGGGGGTGATTCGAACTACATGGTTAGCAGATCCATGTTCAGGATGGCAAGGGGGTTCTAGGGTGTTAAGGGGAAGGTCACCGGCGTTCAGGCCGCCGGGTTTTTGGTGAAGGTGTGCAGGGGCGGCTTTAGGGTTCGGGGGTTTGGGTGAAGACGATGAGGCTGGGGTATTGGATAGGGGGGGTAGGGTAAGGATTTGGGCTTATATAGTTAGTGGGTGGGTCGATCTCAACCGTTAGATCAATCTAGATCTACGGTTTGGATCTGATGGTCTTAAGTGAAACGGTGTCGTTTCAAATGTTGAGGGTTTGGGTTTGGTCCGGGTGTAAACGGGTCGGGTTTGTTGATGGGTTATGGGGATTGATCTTGGCCGTCGATCACTCTGAGATCAACGGCCCAGATCAGGCACGACTCAAACGACGTCGTTTGGACGTCCTGGGCATCAGGTGACCTGGGCTGGGCAGGCCTGGGTCTTGGGCTGTTTGTTTGGGCCAATTTTGTTAAAATTGGCCCAAGTCCGGAAGGGGTCTTTTCTTATTTTTTTTTTTATTTTTTCTTTTCTTATTTATTTTAAAACAAAGTTAAGCCGAAAAAATCAAATTAAAATTAAATACACACTCAAATACCATTATTTGCACACATACTAAAATATTTCAAAACCGGTAAAGTCAAAGCAAATAAAATCACGGACGAAAATGCCTATTCACGATTTTCTATTTAACGACCGAACTACGGTTTGAATTACGCAGGACACATATATATTTTTTGAATTTTATTTTAATAAAGTAAATAAAACAAGAATGGGCCAAAATCACAAATAAATCCACAAGGTGCCGCACAGAAATCCGAAATTGTACAGCGGGGGCCAATTATGTATTTTTTTTATTTCTTTTTGGAGCGATTGTCGTGTGAAGCAAAAATCACGTGCTCACACATCCCAATTTGAGATAAAAGATATGGGTGAAGCTGCATATATTCTTGGAGTTCAGATTTCAAGAGATTGTCCAAAGAAACTATTGTATCTCTCACGAGAGAATTACATTTGAAAAGTTCTTGAACAATTTAATATGCAAAATAGTAGCCCAGTTGAAACTCCTACCAGTAAAGGCCATGTCTTGGGAAGTCAGATGTGTTCTAAGACTCCTGAAGAGACAGAAAGAATGAGCCGAGTTCCTTATAAGAGCGCACTCGGAAGTCTAATGTATGATATGGTGTGCACTAGACCTGATATCTGTCAAGCAATTGACTTGGTAAGTGGATATCAAACCGATCCAGGTTTAGCACATTAGCAAACAGTAAAGAGGATCATGAGATATATGAAGGGAACTGTTGATTATGCCCTTTGTTACCAAGGCGGCAAGGATCAGCGGTTAGTTGGATACAATGATGTTGATCGTGGAGGAGATTTAGACGAAATAAAGTCTACCTCATGATATATTTTCTTACTCAGTGATGGTGCCATATCATGGAGTAGTAAGAAACAATCCCGTGTATCACTATCTACGATGAAAGTCAAATACGTGGATCTCGCATCAGCAGTACAAGAAGCTGTTTGGTTGAAAAAGTTTTTGGAGCACTTGTTAGATATAGCTGAAAATACTGAACCGGTGTTAGTCTACTGTGATAGTGAGGCTGTATATCCTCTACCAAGGACCCTAAGTTTCATTGTAAAACCAAACATATAGATATCAAGTATAACTATGTGAGAGACATGGTTAGGCGCAAGGTAGTGAATGTGAAGTATGTGTCTACAAAAGATATGTTAGCAGATCCATTGACCAAGCCTTTGTCTAGAGATGCATTTGTGAGACACACTAGGTCTCAAGGCTTGTGTAGACTCTGAGATACTTTATTTTGTTATTTATTTTTCCGTGTTCACAAAACTGATATTCTTTGATTATCAATAAAGTTGATTTACATACATACATATTTTTATTGTTGAATGTTATGTACATTCTTTGTTCATTTTTTTATAAGTATGTCGAGTAGACAAGAGGTTGGCCTTCTTACACAGGAAACCACCTCCCTATCTTAGTGATGTGAGGAGATGAGACATGATTTTAACCAAAATTATCATAAGGATAATTTGAGAGCTATTTGCTTAAAATCAGAATGTCGCTTAAACAAATATATAAGGTCATTAGGGGTGAAAAACGTTCACATAATTTACTTTGTGAGCCAGATATGAGTTAAAAAATAATATTGTAGATCAAATAACTCAAATTTAGATACTTATGGGGTCTAAATATCATCTGTACATCATTCTTTATGAGATAAAAGACACACGCTCCTCGGAAAAATGGAGAAAATGCTGTAGCATATGTTTCATACCATGTGTGCTAATGTCGACCAATTGGGTTAACATAAGTCCATTCTTAACTTATTGTTGTGTGAGCCCATAACTTTTATGATAGCTCAAGATTTTGTACCCTTAGAGACTCTGATCATATACTTGAGAACTAGTGCGATGTTAACTATCTTAGCGCGTTTCCAAAAGACCATGTACACAGATTCAGTCTAGCGGAGCATATCTAGAAAAGCAATCATATTAATGTTAAGGGAATCGCGAGAAGAGGAAGATTATTGATAGAATCTCATTTATTTGTGTTCACTGGTGCACCAATTATAACTTATGATTTATGATTGTAAATACAAGAAATAATGGTATATGAGATTTTGAGACTATATCAAATGTGATTTATATGATCTAGGGTACTGCATACTTTATGATCTACTTGCAGGTTTGCACTCGATGAGATGCTATATACTCCTAAACAAATGTATATCACTTAGCTCTCACAGTATGTTGGTCGCACGGTCTACTTCCCTGTATGAATGATTGAGGAGATGAGAATATGTTTCTCATATTAGATGAGCACTCACATTATGTGTGAGTGGGAGATGTACGAAAATTGGATCTACCCATAAGGAGTGCTTTAAGGCCCAATAGGATTATTAGTTAACCCTAATATTCCCTATATAAGTACACTTAGTGTGTATACTAAAATACATACCGTGACAACCACCGACGACTAATAATTCCAGCCGCGGTTCATCTGTTCTTTCCGCTTCCGCTACGCGAACAAGTAAGTTCTAGTTTTACGATTTACGCGCTAAATCTAGTGTGTTTAGATTAGCATTTCGCTAAATCTAGTGTGTTTAGATTAGCATTTTGGAACAGACTATAAGGGAAAGTACCTGGTCTAATTTGAAATGCAGGGAGTATATTTTTATATTTTAAATTATTTTAGACCAAAAATTTTAAAAATATTTTTTTCTTAAACTGCTGTGTACAAATACTTTTATACTATAGCAAAATATAATGAGTTTGGTGTTATTTAGTTGAACTGAAATTAGCACAGGGACAGCGGGAAAAAGTGGAACGCCGGGCGGATTATCCGGAATTTCGATTTATGAGTTGCAAAAGTTGGAACGATTTGGCTGAAACTTCAGCTCTTCCACGCCATTGAACGAGTGTGCTAATAGTACATACACTACACTGATTTAGGGTTTTAAAGTAAGTTTCTTCTTTGATTTTTGCTAGTAACTGAATATGGTTCATACGATTAAAGTTTCTTAAGCATTTTCAACAGTGGAGCTTAAACTTATTCTGTATAGTGTTGTGTATTTTTTTGTGGTAAAATCAAGAGCTTACATGCAGGCAATTACACTTTACGGAATAAGCAAATCTTGATTTTGAATAATGATACTATACAGGAAATTGCTTTGTTATGAGTGACTGAACATCAGATTCTTTTGAAATTTGGGGTCAACTGGTTTTCTGGGCCATCATCTTTTTTGCTTTTTTTGGTTTTTTAGTTTTATGTTTAAGAGATCTGAAAATAAAACACAAGATATTGTTTTTTTCTCCTATTCAAATTGTAAATGTGTTATGTTGAACCATTTCCTTACTATATTCAGGAAATAGCTTTTTGTAATTCTTCTGACCGATTGGGCATGCAGCTGAATTTTTGGGTCAGGGTTGGTGGGAGGGGGTTCGAGCTGTGGAATCAGTAGTCATTGATTGCTTGCATTAGAGAATGCTGCCTACATTCCACCCCTGTGTGAACATGGGATGCTTCGTGTACTGAGCTGCCCGGTAGGTGGGAGGGGGAAAGCTGGTAAACTGTTTCCAAGAAAATGAAATAGTTTCCTGTATGATTGCCATTTATTGGATTCTATTAAAACAGGCAACTTCAGTGGGCTTATGCTAATTTGCATAGAGCCTTGTTGCAGGATGGCTTTTAATCTCGCACCTTTCTATTTTTAAGCTTCAACTGTTAGTCAGGGAAGTTTTTTTTTTTTTTTTTTTTTTTGCATTTGGATTATTTGCACTGTGAGTACTTGGTGCAGTAAGAATCATTCGACGTAATTTGAGGTTTATTTATCACAGCTGAAGATGGCTAATGATGCTACATCTGGGAGAAAAAATAAGGATAATGAGAGTAATAACTCAGAGAACAAACTGGTTGGTAAAGGATCATCAAGTCGTGGTTCTGGAAAGACAGATGGATCCACAAGAAGCTCAGTTCAGGAAACCTCATCGAAACAAAAGGCTTTAAGCCCTGCAAGTACAAGGAAGTCTGAGCGCCTAGAGATGCGGACACCATCTACTCCTCCTCCTAAGAGGAAATCTGTGCGACTTGAACAACAGAATAATCCGACACCCTTAAAAAGGTCTGAGAGGTGCTCTCCTACATCAAGATCAAGGTGCTTAGGGAGAGAATCCAATTCGTCTAGTACAAAGAAGGAGGAGAACCGAGAGAAGACTGCGAAGAAGCTGACAACGGAATTTGAAAATGTTAGCACTAGCAAGAAAAATGCTGCAGCATCTGTTGGCTTAAAAAGGAAGACACTGGATGGCAGAACTTACAAGTTATTATACAAAAAGCAAAAGAAAGGAGGTACCGCATCGGGTAAGCCAATTGTTCTCTTGAAGTTCTCATTTTCTTGTTTCTGTTTTCCTTGGCCTTTTTATTGTAATAACAAAGAGAAGTAGCACTAGATCAGCTCTCTCTTGGGATGCTGGGAAGTGTAAAAGAAGCTTCATGCATTGCCTATAATTTTCATTATGAGTGTTGTTGAAATGCAAGTGTTAAGATTGGTGTGTGATCATATAAGGTTAGATAAAATCAGATATGATCACATTCAGCAAAATGTGCAAGTAACACATATAGATGATAAAATGAGGGAAGATCGCGTGAGATGATTTGGTATTTCCTATGCAGACCTCTGAATGCACTGGTGCATATGTTTAAACTATGATATTTGAAGGTGTTAGCTTATCAAAAAAGAAAAATAAAGGATAATTGAAGGTGTTAAATGGGATGATGTAGGCACCATAATATATCTGAATCCATGCAGATATAACAAAATTTTAACACAATTTAAAAAAAAAGGTCAATATAGGCGACACCACTACTTGGGATTAAGGTTTAGTCATGACTCATTATGGTACGCCTATATAAGTTGTTGGATGTATAGAGATGTATACATCAATAGAAATCGTAGATAACTCAAAGTGTTTGAAAACCCCAAGTTATGGAGTACCGGAATTCAATGAGCCCAAATAGAGCGAAATAGACAGTGATTCATGTAGCCTACACCAAGTAGCTTGGGATTGAGAGGTGGAATTGTTGCTGTTATCGTTGTAACGTAAATAGACTTGTTTGTCTGTAACACTGCCTCACTTGTTTTGTACTTAATTTTGCTTCATAACAGGAACATAAACTCAGACCTCTTTCATAGTTACCTATGCCAAGTTGTTCTTCAGTTGCTGAACAGTAACATCATCCATTCCACAACCAACACCTTACTTATCACAAAAAAAAGGAACTATTCCGCAACTATTACCGTATTTTCAAAAACAAAAACGGAACTATTCCACGACAGTTGCAGTTGTGCTTCCTAGGTTGTTTCTACTTCTAAAATATTTTCATCATGCTGTAAAATAGTTGTAGGAAATGTTATATATGGATAAGATGGTGTTCTCCTCTCATACAGTGTATGAATCAGCAAGTTGTTTCTTCCATATTTTTATCTGTCAGATCTTTCTGCATCTTATTTGCATTATTTCTCTTGCTTGATGACCTTTGCATGTTGTTAGTACCTACAAGTTTAGATGTTCCTTCAGAAATGTTTGTGACTGGCATCCCAATGTGTCTCACACACTTATTATTGGGATAATTGTTATTTTGTGTGTTAAATCGCTCTGCTGTAGATGAACTGAAATGCACTCAGGCATATATATTCTTACAGCTGTCCTTATGTAGTTCGTTATAAGTTCTATGAAAGTGATGTGGTGCTTCATTTATTCTTCTCTCTCTCTCTCTCTCTCTCTCTCTCACACACACACACACACACACACACACATTTTGGGTGAGGTTCTCCAGAACTGTTATTTTCTAATGGTGTTCTATTGTTGGTACTGGGCCATCAATTGGTGATATCTTGGATGATTTTCTGCAACAAATATTTGGAGAAAACTCTTATGAAAGAGTTGAGACGTGCCTTGGCCGTTAACAGATTTAACAATAAGGAATCGAGCTATTTATTTTCTATTCTACCGTTTAACTCTCATTGGTGGATAGTGTTATTATATGATAGTGACTGGATCTGACAAATGATATGAAACTCTGGACTTTCTTTATTAAGATTTCCATCATACATGAATTCTACCATAGCCTTATATTCTTCAAGAAATTCCTCCTTATTCTTGAGAAATTTTTCTTCTCCTTTTTCAAAAGGCTTTTTGATATCCAAAGGGTATGATAATTTTAAAATTTCTGAATAGGACTACTCATCCTTCGTATTGCACTCATTAGAATGATTATCCTTACTTTCTTCTTTAGGCCTTTTAGCCTAGTACATCTACTAAAGCAATCAAATATCAAATGATGCTGCAAATCAATTGTTTTCCGCTGATTAGATGAAATTTTAAAATTCATTTTGCGATTGGACTTGTCTTTTGATGGCCGTATTGAAACTATACTTTATTGAAGCTTCATCGAAGAGTTAGATTAACATTGAATGCTGAAGTTAGTAATCTTAACTGTAATTTGATTATTACAAATACTAAGTTCATATATGTTTATCATTTTTCGTATGAACAAAAGTGAAATGTTTAGCAATATTTTATTTTCAGTAAATTGTGCGCTTCACTTATCAGTTCTTCAAGCCTCATAGACCTTGTTGCTTTTCTGCACTTTTCGTTTTTTAAAAACTGCTCGAAAAGAGGTATCTCTTCAGTCAACAATTTTGAATAGATTATCCTCATGTTAGTATATGTTTGTTGCACCATATATTTAACTGTTTCTAGAAGAACATACTCTTGCTGATAGATTACATGTGGCGCCTTTTTAGTAACAGCTGCTAATATGTCTTTCTTGGGTCAGATCATTGTGAAGATGATGGTATTGATGGGGAGCATGGTTCTGGATCTCCATCTAGTTTGTTGCGTGAGGAAGACCTGGTTGCGCCTGAAGAAAGAGGAATCCTATTCAATGAGCAGAAGAGCCTCCATATCCATCTAAAAGCTGAGATTGCAAAACTTTTTGGAGTGATAAAAGTTTCGGTATTGACTTCTATATTGCACGTCATATAAATTTTTTAATTCAGTTTTCCACAGAAGGAAATGCTAATCTCATATCTACAAATGGTGTAAAATGCGTGTACTCTGTGAAATGTTGCAAAAGGGTCAGTTTTCTGTTCAGTTGAAAGGTGTACGCCCTGGTTAACTTACCTCGGATATTTACTCCTTTGTTTAGAATTTTGTTTGAGTAATAAAACATTTACGAGCACTTACGGGACGCCTTGCGTTTGCTGTTGTAACTCTTTCTTTAAAGCCTTAACAGACAATATTAGTTCTGCTCTCGGTTAAGTGGTTAGAAGCGCGTTGACCAAAAACATAAGGGCGCTGCAATTTGAGAACTTTCTTCAATAACTGTCAATGAGACTGTCTTACGTTCTACAAATTTTAGATCTTACCTAAATCCAGTACTTAGTTTTCACGAATGACGGTGTTTGGTTAAGCAATCTTAAATTTTATTATTCTCCTATAATCTCTTTGTTCGCCATTGGCTCAAATATTCTTCCTTTTTTGTATGAAAGCTATTTCCATTTGGCTGTCCTCTCTTCCTAGCTTAGTACATGTTTGGTTATCCAAATTTTCATAAAAATGTGCCGGCGCCATTTCCTTAACCTGAAAGTGAATCTTACTACGATAATTTGTTCGTCCTTTCTGTTGCATTTCTGCCCCTCACCCTCCTGAGAGCTTTAGGTTCTTCGATGATGCTTTTGAAAAGCATTTTGGCTTATGACTCTATTCTTAAGAAATTTATCTTACCCTTCCTAATCTGCCATGACGAACCTCTTATCATGTATAGTTTGTTCTATTTCCCTTTCCCTTCCTTCAGTTTTTAAAGGGTTGGGGTTGTGGGAAGGGCTGGTATGATATATCAGGAGAAAAACTTAAGTTACGTTGGTGCTGTGTGTAAAGGAAAATAAAAAAGGTATTCTGGCACGACTACCATACTCAACTTCCAACTAATAAATACTGCTTTTAAAATTTAAAGTCACAACCCCGGTCTTTCACTGTGTTGATATGGCTCTAAAATCTAAATGCAGGAAGTCATCAAGCATACTGCCGAAAAATTTCTGGAATATATTATGGAGAATCATCGTGTTAGTAAGGAACCTGAAACAATTTTGCAGGCTTTCCAGATATCTCTGGTTAGTATCTTTTTTTCATCCGCTTTCAATGTGTCTTTGCTTCTGTTTTTTATTCTTAGATTATGCTAGTTATGTAAATCATAATTTTACCCTTTCTGTGTTGAATATCATATAATTTTATGTGTGGTGACAAATACTTGTGGATATAATTGTATCAGGATTGCAGTGACAAATATTTGTAGATATAATCGTATTAGGAAATTTTCTTGATCTGGCTGCTATTACTACTTGTTGTGTCTGCCTCTTTTCAATTTTCTTTGAGCCGGGGTTCTATTGGAAATAGCCTCTCCACCTTCACAAAGGTCGGGGAAGGTCTGCGTGCATTCTACCCTCCCTGGACCCTACTTTGTGGGATTATACTGGGTATATTGTTGTTGTTGTTGATAATCGTATTAGGAAACTTGCCAGCAATTTGAATGGTCTTTCGTGTGGACTGATGAATTATAAATTTCACCTATTTTTGACGTGCATATATATGCACATATATAGTAATAAAGTACTTCTGACATTTTTCATACTTCAAGTTCGAACACATCTCTTTTGGGCATGGGACTTTTGGAATGCATAGAGTGGATGGCATCAGTTCAAACACCTCTCAGCTTCATAAGTGCAACAAAAGCTTCAAGTTTCAATGCAAATCATGTCTAACCCAATGCTAGGTTCTTTTGAAGTTTTGGCAGAACTAAGGCAACTTCTAACTGAAGATTTTTGCTGATTTCTTTGTGTTGTTTCTTCTGATTTACATTTTTATTTAATTTTTGGTGCTTTGCGGAACCTGAGGGCAAGAAAATTTGTTTGCTCCTTGCCTCTATATCCATCATCTTACGTGCTTCTCCTTTTAAGTATCATACTTATAACTCTCTTGATTTCAAATCCTGCTCTAAACTCTCCTCTTTATTTTTTCTTCTCTACGTGCAAGTAACTCTAGCTAGTGATTATTTCCCATATTACGTTGCACGAATGGGATTTTATACTGGAATCACTTTTCTCACGAAAAAGAAAAGAGAGAAAACTAGTTACTGTTCACTTGTGGGGGTTACAAGTTTAACATGCTCAAGTTTTGCTAATGGTAAAGTAGTCGTTCGTGTATTAAAAAGCTTTGTGGAAAGGTATTGTCTCATTTCATTACTCTCTTTGCATCCTGAGATATCTTTATTATTGCCTTAAATTTACATGTTCATTTTAGTGAATTTACTGAACTTGTGTTCTCATTGATGTCTACTGTAATTGTCAGTCTTGGATCGCAGCTTCAATCGCGAAGCAAAAGATTGACAAAGACAATATATTCTTGCTCGTAAAACAACAGTTACAGTTTAGATGCACTAAAGAAGAGGCATACAATGTCTATCTGAAGCTGCGTTCCTTAAAGAAGATATTTTTGCAGAGATTGGATCAGAATGCTCCAAGATATCCTATATCATCAGTGAAATCTGTTAAAGAAGAGCCATATAAGGGAAGCATGTCGCAAGCAGTAGTATCTACCCCACTGAACGTGAAAACCGATATCAAAGACAGGTTACTAGATAAAGGGTTCAGTGGAGAAGGCAGTGTAATTCCTGAGGAAAAACTTATGGACAGTCAAAGGGAAAAGGTCTTTAAGGAGGTTCAGTGCAGACGTGACAGGCAAATATCCATGCTGGGACAAAAGCAACAAGAAAAAATTGAGGAGTTCCATAGAATCTGGGAGAAGAAAAAGGAAGAGCTAGAGAAGGAGTACAGAATGGAGATAGCTGTTCTTCGCTCTATACATGGTCAGACTGCAGCAACTAAGGATAGACATAAAGCATTAGAAACTGAGTTTTCAAGGAAAATGGAAGAGCACAAATGCCAAAAGGACAAGCAACTCAAAGAGCTTGAGGCTAATTTGTCTGCTATGAGGAATGAGGGGATGCATAATTCCCATTATGCGGTTGATGAGCTCCATTTGCTTGGATCTGATTCTGGGGACGGCATGGGGTGCTCCGAGGAAAGTTTAAATGTCTCTGACAGTAATCCCAAGACTGTTACCCCTGTATGTGGACAGCATGTTGAGTTACAGTGTCCAGACAATGTTGTCTCTGGCATGCATGGCGACGTGGCAGCATCTGATGCACCTGCATCTTCTCAAGACGAGTGCCATGTTCTTCCTGTTCTATCTACTAAAGTCTTAGAAGCTTCAGTTTCAGAAGAGCAAGCTGAGATCACCACCACGGGGAGAACATTGGTTACTGCAATTGAGCAGTCTGATGAAGCAGGTAATTCAGGTGGCAGTGGAGAGGAAATTGCTTGTAAGGTTCCTCTACTTTCCAAAGAACATACTGGTGAAGTCGCATCAGACAAGCGAAGTCAAGACTGTTCATTGGAAATATCTGAAGCTCCTCTTGACAAAGTTGTGGGACATGATCAAATTTCTGAAATAAATAACATTAATCAAGAACTGGGTACAGAAAATATTATTCCGGAAAATAATTCTGATTTGCCAACTGTTGATGGAAACCAGAGAGACGAAATTAGCTCCATTGATGGAAACCAATTAACTCCAGAGGAATCGCCAGCAGACTTGCCTTGTTTAGAAGCAGTTCCTTCTTCCGATAATGCTTGTTCTTTGCGGCAAAATTCAGTATGTTTGCTTTTGTGTTGCATGTTTATATGATGCATGTGTTGGATCATTCTGTTGTCTGTTTAGGTTCTAAATCTGGATACAAGTAGTATAAGGCTTTCTGGGGGCAAGTTAAAATGTCTCAAACAGTGAATATGTGTTCCGTTTAGATCATCTTTGACAGATCAATTTCCATGCGACCTTAGAGTTTGATTTCAGTCCATAAAACAGTGAAGTAAATTAGTGTTATCAGGTGCAGACGTGCTGTGCAAGTCTGTATCAAAAATTTACATGTTGTGCCAGCATATGCATTTCGTGTGTAAGTTATGGATATAGTCAGATTGATTTGTGACACTTCTACTGGATCAGGTACATTTGGATGAATGTTCCAGGTCTTCAGGAGATAATGGAACACATGATAACAATGTGCTACTTAGTGAAAACCAGATTGGAATACAAACTGAACTTGTTTCTGGACGGATTATAAACAACACTTCTGAAGCAATGTTAGCTGACAGTTGTGAGCAACATCGTACAGTAGGTGATGGCGTTCCCGTTGCTACTCCCGTTGCCACTCACCATACTCACAGAGAGAGTGCATCCCATGTTGAAAGAAACTTTATTCCAATCCCTGGATCCTCCCCCTATGCAGCAGAACCTTTACATCAAACTGTTTCTCCAGCTGGGGAAAATCTGGTGCCTCGTGCATCTGTTGTCTCAGACATAAGTGTTACCTGCAATCAATCAATCTTACCAGCAGTCAGCAGAGTGCATCCTCAATCCATTGCTGATCTTCGTGCATCTTCTCAGAATACTGAAACTGCGTTTCAAGTGGCTCAGAGTTCCGCTGAGCTTCCTAGTCAAGCAGTCTCTCAACATAAAGTTAATGTTGCCTTTTTTCAAGGATCTAGCAATACGCCAGTGCATCCTGCCCATCAGATGGCCACTTGGAATTCAGCTCTTCCTTTCCATTCTGACCCCCTTCATATCATATGGGAAAGGGAACATAAAGAAAGAGAACAAGTGACAAAAGGCCACGAGGATATGGTTTGTGTCCAATATCTCCATGATTATATACTCGGGGACTCCATGCATCATTTATTTCATTTTGTTAAGCTGTTTTCCTCTCTTTGAACAGAAATTGCATCTGAGAGCTGAGTGCGAGAAGGAGATAGAGGTTGTTGCTGCACCAATTCGTAAGAAATATGATTTAAAGCTTCAGGAGGCTGAGGCAGCATATCTTTTGAAGAAGAATGAGCTTGATATGAATCAGAAAAAAGTTCTCATGAATAAGGCTCTGGCTAACGCTTTCAGATTTAAATGCATAGATCTTGAAATTACTGCACGTCCAGTTGTGCAGCAAGGTACTTATATATTTTTTGTTTATGTGTTCCTAACCATTAGTTGATATTTCCCGTCAGAAAATTTGAACTTATATTGGTATCTGCATTAAATATGACGGGGGATTTGAATTCAATGTTTCTCGTGAACCCTAAACGTAACCATAATTTGTTTTGTTCCAGTTGAGCCTCCTGCTTATATGCAGCATCAGGTATGGCGGCAGCATAGTTTGAGGTCTTCTCCTATGACTGGTTCATCTTCTGCCAGCGAGCAAGCTTCAGCCCGAGCTTGTTTAAGATCTTCCCCAATCAGTGGTTTGTCTTCAGCTCGCCTACCTGTGGGGGGCCAGCAGACTTCTGTCCCATATTTACCAGTTGCTGATTATTCAATATATTCTGGGGGAACCTCTCGGCCTACATTAAGATCTCCACCTGCAGCTGATCAGCAGACTGCTGCTTTTAGTCATTCAACAGCATTTCCTACAGGAATTGTAAGCAGGCCGCCTCTCATTAGCATAATCAACCCTTCCAAGGGTAATCCTCGATTAGGTGGCGAGATTCGTGCTCCAGCCCCTCATCTTCAGCCTTTCAGGGTACCTACATCAACCCTTGTTAGCAGCTCATCGATCCTTCCAAATGGTGTGCAAGGTCATCCACGACCTGTTAAGGTGGCTGCATCATCTTCTTCACATCCACAACTTTCATCTCTACGATCAACATCACTCCCATTGCAAGTTTTGCAAGATGAAATACAGCCAACCATAGTGCCCAAATTAGCTGTAAATCTTTCTAATTCTGGGAGTACATCATTGGACCATGGACTTGGAGGAATGCCTGCTATACAGAATGCACATCTCTCTGCACGGGAATTGCTTCTAGACATGGAGAATCGATCTCGTGCAAACAGGCCTAATTTTATGCTACCTTTATCAGATATAGGCTGTAACATTGATTCAGTAGACCTATCTGACTTTCATTCACTGGGCAGTGTACAGGGAGGTTCTTCCTCTGCAGGGGAAGCTACTAATGTAAGTTCTGCTGTTTGTCTGTCCGATGATGACTGAACTATTGATAATAAAGAGGATTTGTTTGTCTGTTGGTGGGTCAGCTCTTCTATCTGTATGTGTAAATACTTTCTTTTAGAAAATTGAAAAAGGCAGAATGTAAAAGAATGCTGTCAGCGGGCACTGACAGAGGTCTAAGCAAATTTAGCCTTGGGAGAGGAAGCTTTGGGGAAATATATGGGTACGCACCTTCCTTCTCCACCCTGCCCCCTCAACTTTGTTTTTTTAGGGTCCCATGAGTAATGCAGCTGTATATGCTCCAATTTTCTGTCTGTAGTTATTGCAATATATCTGTTCCTTGGTTTAGGTTTCTCATGAATGTTTGTTTCTCTCATAATACCATGTTTCTGAAGCTATGATTGTTGCGAGGCATGCTTAATTGATTGTACGTTGACACTACCAAAGCATGATTTTCATCTACTTTATAATCCTGGAGAAGTGACTATTGGGCTGCTCAAGTGTAATGTGTCAGTGATCTGAACATTTCTGGACCTTATTTTTCACTTTATAGAATTTGGCTTTTCACCCTGGGAATTAGTGGCATTAGCTTGAGCTTCAATTTTTTCCTTTGAGAAATCTAGTATATGTAGATTCAAAGGATAAAGATAGATTGGAAACAAGCAAGTAATACTAATTTTGCAACCAAGTTAAATTAACAAAGGAGTTGGGCCTTCAATGAGATTGAACCGCAAACTTGAGTAAAGATTCAAATCCTTGCTAGAATTCCAATGAACAACCTAAATCATTAAGCTGAAAAGGAAATTACAACTAAACATACCTTAATTAGAGGAAGTAAGAGTTTACTAGTAGAACTAGATACCCTACACCTCTCAAGGGTTTCAATCTTCAATCTTATAAACTTAGAAAAGTACATGACAATTAGTATTTATATGGTCTTGTGAAAATAGGCCTAAGACCCAAAATAGAAAAATCTAGTTAGCTAAAAATAGAAAGAGACTAAAAAGATGAAGTATATTGAACACAATGTGCCGCTAAATTATTGGTTGCAGAACCTACATTTAGATACTTCTCTTCCGGATCCATGATTGCATAATGCAGAAATCCTTTTGCTCACATTTTCAGACTCTTTCATCCATTGTTTGTAAATCAGAGATTTATGTTTACCTGAGGAGAAAGAAAATCTCACTGGTAAGAGGAAATGAGGACAAACTAAGAAATCTTTTCAGTTATCGCAGTTGGGCAATCACATGGAGGAAAAGTATTTGGTGGTCTGATGTAAATCGTTTGTCATGTACACTCTTTGATCTCATCTATCAAAAGAAAATGCACACTTTTTGATCTTCAGTTCACTAAAAGACGAAAAAGGGTCTGTAACCATACTCTTTATCCCCCTCCCCCTCTTCCTTTTAGTCTTTTTCTTCTTTTTTCCCTATATATATTATTCGTGATGATAAGAGGCATTCTAGTGAAAGGTAGCTCTATCAGCAGCTCAAATTAAGTGACGAGCTTCCTGAAGGGTGTTGTTCTGTCTTGTGTAGCGGGTGCCAGTGAGAAAAAGCCAGAAGCTGGGGAGAAGCCAGAAGATAACGGACAAGATTGCAGTGCTGCAAAAGCTAGTTTCTCCCACTGGCAAGGTAATTAACTGCCAGAAGCAGCAAGCCACTTTTTTCCCTTTTCAGTGACTTACCAGCTTCACTCTTTTTCTCTAATTACATATCCAATACTCAAAAAGACATGAGCAAGCCACTTTTTTCCCTTTTCAGTGACTTACCAGCTTCACTCTTTTTCTCTAATTACATATCCAATACTCAAAAAGACATGAGCAAGCCACTTTTTTCCCTTTTCAGTGACTTACCAGCTTCACTCTTTTTCTCTAATTACATATCCAATACTCAAAAAGACATGACTCGTATTGCAGGCTGGCGCAGCTTCTGTCCTCCATGAGGCTTACAACTATATCAAGGCTCTTCAAGATCAGATTCAGGTTCTAATCAATTTCAGTGCATTGAAGTAAAAGAAGCGCGTTGTTCTTTTTTTTTTCTCCGTTTAGACGTGCATTGTTCATGATTTACTCATTTGTCTGCAGAACTTGTGTAATATGGAAAGCACTTCTCACAACAACAGTGATTACCTTTTTCACGCACAGGTAAAAATATGCTTAATCGTTCAATCTAATGCATAAATTATTGTTATCTCCTTGAGTTATTTATGAATGAAGTAAACAGAATGGCAGGGGGGAACAAATTGATGTACAAAGCAAAGGTATTTGTTTGGTTCCACTTTCAGTGTCACTTATGCAGAAACTAACAGGCGAAGACGTCTTCAGCGAAAACATGCAGTCATGAATGATATTGTACAGTGAGAAGTAAGAAAAGCTGTTATAGTTTTGTTAATGAAGTAATCAACTAATCATCTTAGTTTCAATACAGGAAATAACCCATTTTCGTTTTGTTTTTACCTCTCGAAATACTTGAGGAAATGATATCATGATGCTGCCTTGTGATATTCTTTCCTCAATTTTACTAACTTTATAGGTCAATTTTTGCGCCTGGTATGATGGCTGTCATTGTTTTGGAGTATGTTTTCACGAAAAAGTTATTTTATGGTTTGGTTATGAGGAAATGTTTTTCATCTAAAGGGAAAATGGCTTCCCTCACTTATGGATGGAAGTTGTTTCCTTGCAGAACTTTTAGCTTCATATTATTTGCCTCAACTAACACTTGAACATATTATCAATCGTTAATATACAAAAAGAGAGCAGCCCGATGCACGAAGCTCCTGCTATGCGCGGGGTCAGGAGAAGGATCGGATCACAAGGGTCATCCTTACCATGCATTTTTGTAAGAGGTTGTTTTCACGGTTCGAACCCGTGACCAAGGGTTACAGTGACAACAACTTTATTAGTTACGCCATGGCTCCCCATCCAATTGGTAGTATACAAAATTCATCAAAATACTCAAGCGCTTAGACAAATTATCAATCGTTAATATACAAAAAGAGGGTGGCCCGGTGCATTAAGCTCCTACTATGGTGGGGTTGGGGGAAGGTCGGACCACATCCTTAACCTGCATTTTTGTAAGAGGTGGCAATTCATCACAATATTCATTCAACTTTTTACTATTATTAGGAAGTTATTTTTCATTCGTCGATCAAGCATTAGAAAGCATGTCTAGAAAACATTTTGGGTGTGTTTGGTATGACGGAAAATGTTTTCATGGAAAACAAATAGTAATTTTATTTATTTTCCGGTGTTTGGTACGCAAATTAAGGAAAATGACTTTTTCAAGACTATTTGAAGTCATAAACTTTCAAACCACAATCTTCTGGACCCACAAATTTCTTAAACTTTCGAACCGCTAAACTTTCAAAACCGCGGAATTTCAAACCTGTAAACTTTCAAACACATAAACCTCCGAACTCATAATTTTGGAACTTGTAAAATTTGAGCCTTTAAACCGATAAATAATAAAATTAAAAATGATAAATATATTTAAAAATTATTTTTTAAGGGGGGGGGGGGCGTAAAACGAAAAAAAATAGAAATTTAAATTACAAAAAAAAAAAGTAAATTTTTTTTT